TAGATAGATAGATAGATAGATAGATGATGGATGGATGGATAGATGATAGATTAGATGATAGATAGACAGAGAGATAGATAGATAGATAGATAGATGATAGATGATGGATGATAGATAGATGGTAGATAGATAACTTTATCTTCTATAGCTTTGCATAGGTTCTCTTCTTATTCCAAGCTCATTTGAGGTAAATCTGGCCATATACTCAAGATAGCAACTTCATTCCAATTCTATCCATTATCTGTGCAATCCTTTCTTCCCAGGGAACTTCCTACTATTTTTTAGTGAAGAGCCAAAAAAATCCGAGAATGTCTGGTTCAGCTTTTTTTTAAATTTTATTTATTATTTTTATTTTATGTGTATGGGTGTATTGCCTGCATGTAGGTAAGTGCACCCATGTTGTGCAATGCCTGCAGAGATCAGAAGAGGCTGTAGGATCCTCTGGGACTGGAGTTACGGACAGTTGTTAGCTGCCATGTGGGTGCTGGGATTCCAACCCGGGTCTTTCGCAAGAACACCCAGTGTTCTTAACTGCTGAGCCATCTCTCCAGCTCCCATCAACTCTTAATGGAGAAATATTAGAAACCTCGTGGTGGAGTTTTCCTTTATTCAATCCAGGACTGTTGGGTAGTTAAATTTTTTTCTCCTGACCAGCTTCCTCTGGAACTTAAGAGTTGTTACTCTGGAAATGGCTCAGTGGGTTAAATGCTTGCTGCATAAGAACCTAGAGAATCCCCAGTATCCACATAAATGGCAGGTGGGTGTGGCAGCCCACCTTTAATCCCATCACTTGGGAATCAAAGACAGGGACAGGATCCTTGACCAGTTAGACTCGTCCAATCAAGCAATAGACCCTTCCTTAATATATAAGGTGGAAAGTGATCAAGAAAGACAATGTCAATATCTGGCCTACACACTCAGATGCACACATGTCCGTACCCCCTCACACATACACAGGTATGCCCACACACATAGAAACACACACATACACACACACAAGTTGTGGCTTTTAATCTGCACAGAGGCCAAAGTGAAACGGCCATCCTCTGTTCCTCTCTAGGTGACTGGCACATCCAATTTCTATAAATCAAAAATCTGTAAGTCCCTCTTGAGTTTTCCTGCTTTCCTCTCCCACCACTCGAGATTTACTAGTAAATCCTGGAAATGCTAGCTTCTTAAATTTTTATGTGTATTCTTAAGTTAGGGACTGTTGTCAAGTTAGGGACCCTTTCTAGGCCTGCTCTCTCTAACTCCTGCCCAACCCCTTTGTCTTTCTTTACAGGGAGAAGGAAAGCAAAATACTCAAGTCCCAGCAAAGTAAAGTCCAAGTTACCCAACTTGTTATAGCAAAGCTGGGGATCAAAATCAGGATTCCTTTCCCCAAATAATTGTATCTTTACTCCTCCTTTAGCTTTTGCAATCCAAATAAATTTTATTTCAACTATATAAACATTTATATACCATGTGTTTTGGGTTGCCTCATCTTCCAATCTCCAATCCTATGAATCATCTTCATCTCGGAGAAGGCTTTAATTATAAAAATTTCATGAATGAACTGCTGTTGACTATTGCTTGCATATGCATTTAAATCATATAATATTTTGACATAACCAACACCTTCAACTTACAAGTGTTTGGTGGCTCATGCAGAGAAATGGACTTTTGGGGAACTGGTAATTGAGTTGTGAACTCCATGAGCTTTTGGCAACTCTTTGAAGCCTGTCAACCTTTTTAACTATTTTGTCTCATGTTACTAAAGAAATTCATTTTCCACATAAGTACTTAAACTCACAAATCTGTGCCTCTGACATATTAAGCTGTTGTTTTAAAGATGCCATCACCCAAAGTGCACACATTTAGAGAAGATTTTTGTCAGAAGAGCCTAGCTAAGGAAACTCATTAGATCCAAGTGGTCCAACAACAGCAAAAGCTATGTAGGAATAAAACTGTTAACAGTGAGCATCAGTTAACTGCCTGCATCCCTGGTAGGTGTTGTTTGCTAATCTATCCTCAAAGCACTGTGTGACATGGAGAGCTTTATAATGACAGTCATTTTTGAGCTGTGACATGTAACTTGTAACCTGCAAAAGCAGTTAATGGTGTATTGTTATTCTTGTATGCCAGGGACTAGTTGTCCGGAGAGACTGCTCATCCCTGTGGCTCATAGATGAGCCACCAAATGTTTCCTTAACTAGTCCTTAAAAATGGGGATGACCAGGTCTGACCTCACAAGTTTGTGATTAAAGAACAGTTGACAGAAATGTATCTAGAAGCCAAAACAGAATGTTTTAGAAGAAAACCTGATGGTTCTAGCAATTACAGTCATTGTGTTATGCTTAGGGATTGTCCTCTTAGGTTGTAATGGGGAAGGGAAATCAGTCATGTGCTTTGGGGAGTTTCTGATGTGGTCAAACCCAAAACATGTGATGAGCAGGATCCTTATGAAACATAGGGCTATCACAGAATTACTCTCTTCGAAACCATTTATGTAATACAAGAAAACAAAAATCAATGATCTATAGAAAAGTGTTTCACAGAAAAGCATCCAGATGATTCTTACTGCTTTGTACTGCTGTGTAATACCTTCCAGACTTAAATTAAGACTCACACTTCAGTCAGATGAGCACTTGAAAATGTAAAGGATGTAGAATCGACTACCATCTTAAGCACACTTTTAAGTAAATCCATGAGACATTCTGAGGGACTCTAATAGTACAGTAAATGTTAATGGGATTTGATGACTATGTTCTTACCCTAATGACCATTATTTCATCTGACAATAACCAGGATTTTAAACAAAATGAGACTATAGGGGGGAAAGGGGGGGACAGAAATAGATACATGTTAACTGTTCTGTAAAAACATTATTTCAAGAGAACTATCATTGGCACAAGTATTGAGCACTTCCTCCAACATTTCCAAGCATGTCTGCATCTGGGATCATTTTTCAGGCCCTCTCTGAGTACAGGGAAAATTATTAAAATAAAAGAATCAATCTGCTACCTCCCTGGTTACCAGATACTCCTATGACTGCCCTGTTAAAGCCAGTTCTTTCATAATCTGAATTACCATGAATCCAACAGCTCTTTCATTTCCTCAAAAGCCACAGCCTCAGTTCTATTGGGCATCATTGTCAGATGTCTGTCTTTCTAACTCCATAGATGGTTCCAAAGCCTACATATATCTTCATTGGTCAAGGTCTTTCTCTGGCCCCACACTTACTAAAGAACATGGAGGTGAACTGAATCTCAGTTAAGGTGCCGTTTTGAGGAAATATCTTTCTCTGCTACCCGCAGTGGAGTCTGTGCCTTCTCAATCAAGTCAGGATCTTTTAGTGTTTCTTCACATCTCAGTAAGAGAGACCTTACACAAATTATCTCACCAACCATTGCGGTAAATACTAATAGTCTCAGTTGAAAATGCAGAAAGGAAACTTGCCTATAGGCACATGGGGGACCCTGGCATTTAAAGTCCAGCTGGACAGTCCGCATCATGCTCTGGATTTCCAGTGTGCAGCCTGCTCAGATACTGCAGTCTCATAAGTGAAAACAATGCTCTTTCTTTAAAACAGTTTTAGAAATTAACTACAAAAGGTGATTGTTCAGTCTGTAACTCTCCCCACTACTTCCTCCCAACCCACAGAGATCTACACCAGAGATGGAAATTCCTATGGGAGACCTTGTGAATTTCCATTCTTAATTGATGAGACATGGCACCATGAATGTATTCTGGATGGAGATCATGAAGGACTATGGTGTGCCACCACCTTAAATTATGAGCATGATCAAAAGTGGGGCATCTGCTTAAAACCAGGTACGTATGGGCTGGTGGACTTCATGGGAAGAAGAGAGTGCCATTTATATGAGGCAAAAGGGGGAAAGGAGAGTTCAAGATGACTTGAAAGTATTTGCAATGACTATTATCCTAGATAAGGAATGTATATTTAAAGGAAGAAAAAGAAGTTGTACATAGCTTTGAATTTCCTTTCAGAAGCCAGTCAAGAAGAGAGCCTCCCTTATGTCCCATGGAGAACATTTGTCCTCTTTCTGATGGTAGAAAATAAAAAGCATTTTTAGCTACTACCTTCTATAACTCTCTTCATCAGCTGAAATTTTACAGAAGATAAATTACTAATAGTATGACTATAAAACAATCAGAACAGTGCGGGGCATGGTGGTGCATGCCTTTAATCCCAGCACTCGGGAGGCAGAGGCAGGCAGAACTCTGTGAGTTTGAGGAGGCCAGCCTGGTCTACACAGTGAGTTCCAGGCCAGCTGGTGCCACAGACAGGGAGACCCGGGAAAAAAAAAAAAAAAAAAAAAAAAAAAAAAAAAAAAAAAAAAAAGAGCAGTACTTGTGTCTAGTATATAACAGAGGCATAGTTTCTTTTCAAATAGGTGAGCATCATAAAGGGTCACAGATCCTGACATGTGATAGATGCTTAAGAAATATTATATGATGGCTGTGGTAGCTTACATCTTTAATTCCTCATGAAGATGAGGCAGAATGGTGAGTTCCAGGCCAGTCTAAACGACAGTTTGAGAACCCAGTCTCAAAAATCAATTAATGGAAATAAATTAAAAGAATTTGTAGAAAAAAGGAAGAGCTCCAGGCCTAATAATAGTTAATGATTAAATGGCCCTTCCAGGTGTCAAATACTGTTCTAAGCTTTCAACATCTATTACAAGTCATTCAGTCCCCATAGCAACTCTATACAATAGGAACTGTGATTCTTCCCCCTTTACAGAAGAGCAGAGTGAGGCATAGGTAGATTACATAACTTGCTTAATGTTACATAGATAATGAATAAATCCCATCAGAGTTAGGATTTGAGCCCAGGAAATCTAGCTGTGAAGGCTTTTCTCTAAACAGAAGCTCTACTCCCCTGCCCATGGGATAGGCACCTGGTGGTATTGTAAGCTGATCCCTCCTTAAGAGAATCTAAGCTTCAAGTTCTGACCAACTTAAAGAGGAAAGAAAGGGCCAGTGATTCCATACTTCAGGGTGCACCAAGATCCTGGATTGGAGGGTTTGCTAGAACACAGTTTGTTAGGGCCACCTCCAGAGATTTTGATTCAGTGGATTTTGGGTGGAGCCCAAAAATCTTTATTTTAACAAGTTCCCAGCTAAAGCTAATACTGGTCTGAAGACCTCTCTTTGAGAATTGCTTTTCTATGCCAAGATTCAGGCTTTTCAACACCTGGGATCTAACTGAAATATTTAAAAACCCAGCGTTTGTTTCAGCTGTAATTTTTACGCAGATTGTGGTTAACCATATAACTGTTTCATTGAGCTCTCGCTGTAGTTTGGGTCAGAAGTTTCAGATGAGAATTTTCTCAGGTAAGAGGTAGTGACCCAGGTGGATGGAATGTTCTGTCAGGGTTAGACGACATATGTATGGAGCCTGGTGGAGAGGCCAGTATTCCTGATCATCATTTTCCAGTGTATTTACCCACTCTGCTTTGCTGCCTTGACTGAAATTTGTCTGTGTGTCTGGATGCCTCCTGGGGGAGGGCATGGTTAAAGCAGTCATGTTGCTACCAGGGTTACTTTCTATGGAAGAAGGCTGAGTTCTCAAACCTGAGGACTTCTAATCCATGGATATGGGGTCATTTAGCAAACACATTGCCACCCCACTGAAGCTTCTGGATTTACAAAGAGAGGCTTTCATTGGTAATCATGTGTCTGAAAATTCCCCTTATCTTCACCTAGTGTCATGATCTCTGTTGCTATTTACTTATATCAAAAAAAGCTGGGTAAGAGGCAAATGTGCCATCCAGAAGCTACAGAAGAGATTGGTGCTCTGATTATATCTCTGCCACAGATGCCTGTAGGTCTTTGTCTCCCTCTGTGAAATGAGGTCATTCAACAGTGGATCTCCAAGAGCCTTTCCAGTTATAGGTCCATGAGTCTATCTGGTGTGTAACTGGTTATGGGAAGCCCTTTGGAAACCCCTAGATGGAGTCTGGGTCACATGACACAGCCTATATTGGTTTTTCCTTCTCTCTGGGACCACAAAGGAAACTGAGTGTATTTTTAAACTAGTTATCTCAAGATTTGTACAACTCATTTAGGATAAAGCTTAAAGGTTCTTTATTTGAAATTCATATTTATATATCTTTAAAGAATATACAGTGGAGCTAGGGAGATGGCTCAGTGGGTAAGAGTACTTACTATGCAAATATGAGAACCTAAATTTGAATCCCTAGTGCCCACATTTTTAAAAAATCCAGGCATGGCAAATCATGCATTCCTGTAACCCCAGTGCTGTGGATGATGGAGACTGGAGGATTGCTGGGGCTTGATGGCTGCCAGACTAGCTCCAGTTTCAGTGAGAGGCCTCTCAAGGGAATAAGGTCGAGAGAGATAAAGACACCTGACAGCCTCCTTCTGCCTGCATACCCACACATGTGCACATAAATGTGCTCATACACAATGCATACAGAATGTACTCTGCACAGTCTACGTTGTACATTCATGTTTTATACCTATATGTGTATATACATATGTGCATATGTAATAGAAATTCTATAACATTATATCATTAATCATCTATTAAAATATTAAAGAGAAATTTGAACGGAATTCCAAAGTAAAGGCATTACTGCACTCTGTATCTTGACCATTTAAGCACACACATATACATACAGTGGCTTCTCCAGAGGCTATGGACAAACCCTCTTCACCATGTTCAAATGAGCTTGTTTTCCATTGGCTCAGTGTTGCACACCTGTATACACTGAGACTCCCATTTTCAGGAAGAGGACATGCAGGGGCATGGATGAAAACATGGCATTGTATTTGACAGGGTATAGAGGGAAAGTGGAAGCTTTAGCCAGCCTGAGTCATTTGGGGTGGGCTGATTCATTTCATCAAAGTACCAAAATATGGTCAATATAATGGCAGCCTCCAATTCCTAAGAGAATGCAAATTGAATTGCAATCTTGTAAGTACTCCAAGCAATAGGAAACATTATGCTCTTACTTTATGATCATTAATTTATCTTTTTATCAACAGAAAATGACTGTGATGGTAATTGGGAAAAGAATGAGCAGATTGGAAGTTGCTACCAATTTAATACTCAGACAGCTCTTTCTTGGAAAGAAGCTTATGTTTCCTGTCAGAATCAAGGAGCTGACTTGCTGAGCATCCATAGTGCTGCTGAATTGGCATATCTTACAGGTAGGTTTAACTTGCATGTGGTAGAGCAAATTGCTGGAGTTGTAAAGGCGCTTTCTTCTTCCACATTTCAAGCCCAGGCATGCTCTTTTATGTAGATCTTTTCTGGCTTCTCTTAAGACTTAAACCCCAGCACCGAAGCCTTCCAGGAAAAGAGTACTGAATGTGAGCATCTTGTATCAGAATGTATGTGTTGGAATGCATCTAGTGATGAAAATTAGAGAAGACTGATGTCTAAAAACAAGTTAGGGTACAAGATTAGTTATAATCATAACCTTAAATGGAAAGAATGCAGGGGTGAACATTAAACCCCTCAATATCACAAAGGAGGGAGTTCAGGAAGATAAAGCAGATAGATGGCTGAGTCATACTAGATGACCTCAGTAAAAGCTCACATTTGAGTGAGGAGATGCAGAACCAGGGGCAAGGGAAGTTTGAAGAATTTTTTTTTCTTTTAATTTAGATTTCTTTTCTTTAGAATTTATTTTTAATTACACATATATGGGGGGGGGGTATGTGCATGTGAGTGCAGGTGCCCTCAGAGACCAGAAGAGGGAGTTGGATACCCTGGAGTTTAAGTTACAGGCAGTTGAGAGCTGCCCAACCCAACATGAGTTCTGGGAAATGAACTCAAGTCCTCTGCAAGAACAGTGAGCACTCTTAACCACTGAGCATCTCTCCAGCCCCCTAAGAATTCTTAACATGAATGAATAATAGGCATTGCAGAATGGGAAGGAGTTTGTTTTATTTTGTTTGAGGGGCAGTAGTGACAATATTTAAAATTTTTAATATATTGTGTATAATATATATTATATATATATGACAACAAACAAATGAAGAGTAAGCCCCTACATAAGGCCTGTGCAGTCTAAAAGCATTTTTTTTTTACTTTCTGCCTGTCCTGTACCTATTTAGTTTTTTTTTCTTTTGATTTTTATTTCTATTAAACATGGAACTTAGGGGTGATAGATTTGATTTGTTGATATTTATCATATTTCCTGTGTTATCAGCATTCCTAGGACCTGTAACCAACCAAGTCACCCTAAAACATCAAGAAGATTCTACATTCCTAGGGTGGGAACGGTTCCTAATGTGCCTCTACTCTAAGAGGTTGTTCACTTTGTGCTACCTTGACCTGTGTCCAAGGCTAGGACATTTCTGGGTTAGGGCCATTGCTGGCCATAACTTTTTGATGCAATTGAAGAGACCTTCTTAGGCTCACTCCAGATGTTATCAGGCCTGTGTTCTCTCATTGTGGGAGAAAGAACAGAAGTATTCAGTCAGACCTGAACAAGGGTGTCAGGGTCAGTCAAATGTATCTACCTCCTAGTCTATAGACTAGGAGGAAATATTTGCAATCTATATATCTGAAACCAGGTTAATATCCAAAACTTGTATAGGAATTCAAATAACTCAAATAGCAAAATTTGCTTAAACAATGAGCTAAAGACCTAAACATGCAGGTCCAAAAGAAAAACACAAAGACACAGAAACTAGTCAACAGATATAGCTGAAAATGCTCAAAATCACTAATCACTAAGGAAATACAAAGTAATGCCACAATAAGATAGAAGGTATCACTTTGCCTGTTATAATGACCATTACCCAAAAGAAAAAAGTAATGAGGACAGGGAGAAAGAACTCATACACACTGTTAGGGACTATCATGTAGTGCAGCCATTATGGAAGATTAAAAATAGAACTACCTAGCAATTCCATTATTAGCTATATAGTCAAAGGAAATGAAATCAGTATGTCAAAAAGGTATCTGCTTTTCTGTGTTTATTGCAGCTCTACTCACAATAACCAACATAGATAATTAACAATAATCAATATGAATTCCACCAACCATATGGAACAGATGAAGAAAAAGAGGCATGCATATGCAATGAAATACTGTTAAACCTTAAAAGAACAAAACCCTTTCACATGTGACAATCTAGACATTATGTTATGTGGGGTCGCTCCCTCTCCTCATGGGTCGTTGGCCACCGTTCCACGAGGACAAAGGGGTCAGCACGACCAGTGAGCACTGATGGAAGAAAGCCCTTCCAGGGAGGCAGGATCAGTGATACAAACAGCTCCAGACTCAGTGAAACAGCTCCGTTTATTCAGTGGGGATTGGGGGTCAGGGAAAATATAGTGTGGAGGCAGTAGCCAATGCTTCAGCTGATAGGTGCTCATAGTATGCTTTATTTACATGTGGCAGTGGGCTCCTATCATCCGCCTATGGGGCAATGCCTAATTATCATATAGAAAAAACCTGGGGGTAGTTTTTACTCCAGGTAACTATGCCAAAGGTCATGTTTTAAAGAGGCCAAGCATCATGCTTGGCAGCACTTTCCAGATAAGTCAGGCAGGAAGCTCCTGCTGAGAAAGGAGCCAACCTTAACAGCGGGGTTCCCCAACAATGTTAAGTGAAATAAGTCAGGCACAGAAAGCAAATACCATAAGCTCTCACACATATGTGGAATCTAAAAACTTAATCTCGTAGAAACTGAGATAGGAAGAGTGGCCACTAAAGGCAGAGGAGGTAGGAAGGGTAGGGAGAGGCTGGTCAGTGAGTACAAAGGTACAGTTAGGAGTAGTCGTGGTGTTCTATTGCACAGCAGGAAGACTATAACTGACAGTCATGCATTATATATTTCAAACTAACTGGAGAGGATTTGAAGTGTACTCATCACAAAGAAAAGAAAATGTTTACGATAATAGATATGCTAATTCCTTGTTTTGATAATTATACAATATATGTAAATCAAAATTTCACATTGTGACCCATAAATATACACAGTTATTATGTGCCAATTAAAAATATACAAAAGAAGGAAAAAGAAATCTACCTCAATGGACTTGCCCATTTGTTTAGGTATGAGGATTTCTACTGGCAATCATCTGTAATGAGGGTCAAAGGTAAGGGAGTGTACAGCCTCAAACTGGCCAAAGTTTTGCCTGGGCTGTAGTTAGGGAAAACAGTCTAGCTCCAGATTGTCCAGGCCATATAAAATGTCTCTGTGCTTTATATCTGCTCAACCAACACATTTAGAATTTACCCATTTCACATTTACATCCATTGGGCAAAGCATTTATTAAGAAATTTGTGTTTTAAAAAAAGAATATCTGTGCTTACAAACATGGTCAAAAATGTTAAATTCTATAATTCCAATGAAGTCAATACAAATCACAAAGAGAACACAGTAGTGAAGCAAATCAGAGACTTCAGTTCAAAAGATCACATTATGGAAATGGGTACTTGCCATATGTGGGTCAGTGCAGGGATTAAGAGCAGTGATTACTTCCTGCTGGGAAATACCTGAAAAGCTTTCACAGGAAAGCGGAGAAGGAGCTTGCGGTGGAAAGAAAGGATGGGTCTCCTTCCATAGTATCCTGTCATGATGGTGCTATGAGAGAAGTAGAAGTGAAAGCAAAAAGCATTCCAAATCAGGGGATGTAGTTAAGTCTGGAGTATCAGAAATATGTCTTAGTTTCTGGGGCTTCTTTAGGAATGCTGAGAAATCAACTGCTTTTCACCAATGAGGAAAATGTACATTAGATTAGATCTTCAAATCTGCTCGGTGGTAGTGCTCATAGACCTTGCAGGTGTTCATCAGGTAAAAAGAAAAAGCTGAATCCAAATTCTCCCTAGCATTCTCCTCAAGACCTCTACCCAAACATCTATCATCCCTTTCCTTAGGAGAATATCCTTGCCATCTACTTCCTCCAGAAAGGTGACACAAACCTGAGGTTCTCACCCCACGCTTGTGAACATATCTGTATCTGTGAGCCCCAGCTTCTTCAGCTCTCCTTCCCCCAAGCACTTTGTATGTGCACCAACTGTGCTCTCACACTTTCATCATTACTACTACATTGGCTCCTCTTCAACTGTCTATAACCTGTGTAAACGTCCACCATTAATAATATGTTTGTTTCCTGGGTCCTGCAACCCTGCCTCCTTCTTTCTTAACCAAGCTATTATGCAGATCCAGAAAAGTTCTGTTTTAGGCACTGGGGCTCTAAAGTCTGCAGTGAGGCAAAGATTATGTATACTCAAAATTGCTCTTGAAAAGCTCTTATAGCATGAGCATGGTTTCCTCAATGGAAACTCCATAGTTTATACATCCATACACAGAAATAGACGATAAAAAGATGGATATATATAATGCAATAATATATCATACATAGTCCCCTGGGAGCAATTAAGAAGCAGTTATCAAGTAATTTACAGCTGAAAATATTGCAACAAATTTATAAACATCCCCATCTGTTGGTTCTTTCTGTTTGTCAGTATCATTAGTCTTTGATAGACCATGTCATCAATTGCTCTGTCTCTTCTACCTGGCCTTCGATTAATTTTTTTTTTTAAATTACAACATAGAATAAGTAGATTTAATAAATGTTTATAGCATATTTCATCCAACAGCTGTGGAATATACATTCTTTTCAGCAGTCCAGGTAACTTTTTCTAAAATAAATCACATTTTTTTTATTCTTATTCTTTTATGAAGTTAGTTAAAAATTAATGAACAAGAAATTAAAGAGACTGCGCTGCAATTAAGTTAGAATATTCTAACTGGAAAACAATTACTGTGAAACTATTTACATTCTCATAGAATTATAAACATTTCTCAAGGAATACTTTACAGCACAACTTTTTTTTTCATACAGAAGAATTCATTCCAAAGCAATTGACATTGAGACGTTTTCACATGCATTTCTAATCTCTATATACATGACTATCACTGGTCACAGTCGCCCACCTTCTGAGCTCCTCGGCATCTGAGCATGAATACAAACTCGTCAGATAGACAGCCTTCCTCTCCCACTAGAGGCTCCATACTCAGCCATCCCTGTCACTGTCCACTGTGTTGTCAGCACCCTCATCCATTCCCCCCTGTCTGCCCTTCTGGTAAATCTAGTCAGCCAGAGGTCCCTGTTCCAGGAGGGATCAGCTGTTCCTCATCTACGGCAATCCATTGGCAGTATTCCTTTGGACAAGATTGGGGTCTGCTGTTCATTTTCCCAGTTCTATGCTGGGTTACTATCTGGGAGTCCCTTGGGCCACCCTGGCCA